TTTTTTTTTTTTTTTTTAAATAACAGATGGGGAAACTGAGGCACAGAGAGGTGGTTTGAGTTGCCCACAGTTGGTAGACCTTGAACCCCCCCCCAAGTCTTGCTCACAGCTTTTCAGCCCCCACCTTGGACTCTGTGAGAAGGAAGGGTTGTTCCCAAGGGGAGTTCCCTCCACTTGTTCCCGAGGTGAGGAGAGCCACGGCTCCTCACAGGGAGAGGGGAAGGGGTGCAGTGATGTCTGGCAGGGGGGGAACAACGGCACAAATGGTTTCTGCCAGCCCCAGGAGGGTGGGAGAAGCAAGGAAACCTGAAATGGAGAGGCAGGAGCCGGTCGGTCAGGCACTGGGAGAGAGGACGTGGCTCTACAGGATGCACTCGTGCCTCTCTGTGGCTTTCAGGGCCTCGTGCATGCTGGCGGCCGAGAGCCTCCTGTTGATGTTCCTGTACCTGCACCTCAGGAGGTTCCAGAAAGTAGTCCTCAAGTCCCTGTTGAAGAAGGCGTAGATGAGGGGGTTGATGAGGGAGTTGGTGTAGCCCAGCCAGAGCAGAGTCCTCTCCAGCCGCAGCGGGATGCAGCTGCAGCGCACTCCGCAGATGAACGGCCGGGCCGTGGACATCAGGAAGAAGGGCAGCCAGCAGAAGGTGAAGGCCCCCACGATAATCCCGAGGGTCCTGGCCGCCTTCTGCTCCCGCTTGAAGATGGAGATGTTCTTCCTGTCCTGCCGGAGCAGCTTGGAGAGCGTGGCGCACTCCTCCGCCGCCTTGGTCCGCCGGGAGCTGTGGTGGCCCCGGCTGGAGGCCTCCAGGCAGTAGACTCCCTCCTCCTCGTAGTGCTTGGGGAAGTTCATGAAGCGGTGCTTCTCGGCGCTCACCTTGGCCGCCTTGTAGATGCGGCTGTACATGACGAGCATCACGGCCATGGGGATGTAGAAGGCCACCCCCGTGGAGTACACGGTGTAGCCGAAGTCCTGGCTGATGAGACACACCCTCTCCACCGTGACGTTCTGGGCCCAGCCGAAGAGGGGAGGGAGGGTGATGGAGGCAGACAGCAGCCAAACGATGAAGACCATCTTGGCCATGAGCTTCCCGTTCTGCCTCACCGGGTACGTCAGCGGGCGAGTGATGCCCAGGTACCTGGACAGGAGAGGAGTTGCAAAGTGTTAGGAGGATTGCAAGGTGTGTGTGCAGCTGGGTGGGTTTCGTTCCTAATCAGTTGTTAATCATGGAATCAACCAGGCTGGAAAAGACCTCTGAGATCAGCGAGTCCAACCTGTGATCCAACCCC